GCAGGAGAGGCCTGTGGTTAGTGATGATTAATACAGCTCAGCCCCATTCCTACTGGAGCACAGACTTAAGCTCTGTCTCCAGGACGACCTGTATGGGTATGCTAGGGCTCCCTCTGTGAGAACTGGACAATGTCCCGCCCCAGAGAGGAGCCATTAGCATTTGGGGACCAGAACAGTCAGTCTTAGACACGCTTATTCCTTAAAAGTGATGCTCCTGATGCTTCCCTCTGACTCATACCTGGCTACTGAGCCTCAGAGCTATTCTGACTACCTGCAGCAAAGACCCACTCGTAAGTCCCATGGGTGCCTTGAACTCCTCTGGGTTTCTCAGCCCCATCAGTAGCAACATCATGCATCAAGCTACCGAGCAGGAGTCAACCTGGCCCCTACTTTTCTGCTCACCTCCACGGCACCCAGTCATTAACCAAGCTCTATTGAACCTACTTCCCTAATTTCTCAAGCCTCTTCCCTTCTCTTCACCCTCCCCACCTTGGTGCTTGGTTCTACTTCTTCTCACCTATTTCCCCAGCACCAGTCTCTCTCCATGGACATCAGAGATCTTTGCCTACTTTACTGATGGTTCCCCATCACCCTGAGCCAGCCACAAATGGCATCCTTCAACTAATTCTGCAGCACTGCTTCCTACCACCCCTGCCTGGGCTCAGATGCCTCAAGACGCCCTTGACTTCCTTATCTGTGATGCTATGCGCAGAATGTCTTTATACATGCTGTTTCTCCTGCCTGTAACACCCTCTGTCCTCCTGCCAACCTGCTGAATTGATGTTCACACGAGCCCTCTTCTTGAACCTGACCATGGACTGGAATTGCTCTCTGCTCTGTGATCCCATTGCACATATCCTGGCACATATCTGTGTGCCTACCTTCCCAGCTCTACTGCAAGCTACTTGGTGTCAGGCACTGCAGTTAACTCATCCTGGGCTCCCTGGGTCCCAGGAAAGATATCAAACATCATGGAACCTCAAGCGCTACTGCTGAATGAAGAAAATCTTCCTGTCTCATTCTGAGTCTGGCTCCTCTCTGATAAAGCAGCCCCAAGTCTTTGTTTCTCCCGAGGGGGGCTGTCCTGCAGAGATTTTGTTCCTCACCACTCCCCATGTTCTTTCTACACTTCTAACTATAGATCCTCAACCTGCAGCTACAGCTATGAAAATTCTGACTAAGCCATGCAGCCTCATGACATCCAATAATGTGAGATGATTTTAAAAACATCATTTGGGAAAATCACCTTGTAGTCTGCAGTACCCAGACAAGCCCATGAATGTGCAGGTCCATCCTGCTCTTTACAGGGCCATGGAGATATGGGCACCAGTGTGGGGACAGAGAGTGGCTGTGACAGAGTGGCTGCTGAGCACTGTGGTGAATAATTCAAATTCTAAAGTCAGACAGACTCGATTCAAGTCATAGATCTGCCACTTACTGCCGATGTGTCCTTGGGCCTATTTTCTCATCTGTCAAGTGAAGATGATGATAGAATGAATCTCAGAGAGTTGAATAAAAGCCTGTGTATGAGAATATTGAATAAAATCATATATATAAAGGCCTGACACTCACCCACTGAGTGCTCAGCAAAGTTAGCAAAAATGACAATGTACATAAGATGAAAAAAGGTCATCTTCCTGAAAAACTGGTATTGGACATTTGTACTGGTGAGGGTAGCACTAGCTGTTATAACAAATAAGCCCCTACAGCTTATTTCTCAGTCACAAAATGTCCAAAGTGGGCTTCCATGACTGTTCAGTGCTTCTCCACAGGATAGGTCATGGATCCAGACTTCTCTCATCCTTCCACGCCCAATTTCCAGGGTTACCAGGGAAAGAAAAAGGCCATGGAGGAGAACACATGGAATTTTTCCAGGGACAAGCCTGGAAGTGAGGCACACTACTTCTGACCTTGATCCATCAACTACAACTTGGTCACGTGGCCACACCTAATTGCAAGAGAGGTTGAGAAATGTCCTCTAGCTATTTGTTCGAAGAAAAGAAGAAAGAGGCAGCCCCTGTCACATGACAAACCAACTTGAAAGCTGACCTTAAAGCCAGAGTCGGAATGACCAGCCAAAGCCTGCTGGGGCCTGTTTGACTATTTCCTACACCTAGCCTCTTCTGAGAGATGAACAGTCCTCCATCACAGTAAAAGTGGCTTCTGATACACTCAGCTTCTCTTCAAAGCACAAACATTGCTCACAGGAGAAACAGCTATACTATCTTGTCAAACTTACAAAGCTGTGTCCTTCCTTCCTGTACTCATCAGCCAGAAGGACACCGCATTTAGTAAACCAGAAGCCTTCACCCCTGTAGAGGGCCCCACATGCTTTAAAACATTCATAGGCATTCAGGAAACTGTGGCACCTGTACATCACATTATGTTCATATACATTAGCTTGGCTGACTTTTTGACTGTTAGCAGGTCAGGAAATAAAGATTCTGTGGTTGACCCTAAAGGGATCTATGTGGTCTTTATCGCTGCAACTCCTGCAACTATAAATCAATCACGATAGACAGGAACTTTGTTTGCAGAAACCCAAAGCTTACCCAGAGACACACCGCTGGAGACGGGCCGTACAGAGAGATGAGCCAGGCTTGAGTGAGAAGCAAGTCTCTGAACGCAGGCCCCTCAACAAATGAAATATGACCAGGACAACATGATCTGTCCTCATAGCACACAGCACAGGACTAATTTGAAACCTGGCTGAATAAGATGGACCTGAAAACCACAAGTCCTCTACTATTAGGAGAGTCATAGAGGTGAGGAGGGCAAGGGGCCATCCTACATACCTACCTTACCACTCTACTCCTCCCCTACAGGGCACCATAACAGACTTCTCACTGCATTGTAAACAGCCTGCATTT